TACCAGGCATCAAACTTGGGACCTTGCACTTACAAGGCAGGCACAGGAACCACTGAGCTAAATCCCAGCCTCCTTATTCTGGCTATTGTTTAGATATTGTTTTAGGCATTGTTTCCTATGTCTCCCTGACATACTCTTCATTGAAATCTCTGAAGGTCTTCAAGTTGTCAAATAACTTCTCACATCACTTCGGCTTGGCTGCTCTGTGGTATTTGACAAAACCTCCTGTTTCTCCCTCACTCTGTTCTGTGGCATCCATGGTGCCAGAATCTTTTGCTTTTCCTTCCAATTTTCTAAACGCTCCTGCTTAGCCTAATGATGGAGTTTAAGGATTGTGCTGCATATTCTGCCTTCTTATAGAAGACCTCTCCCTTATTTGTTTGCGATTGAACAAAATAACATTTCTGGGTCTCAATTTCCTCATCTGAAGCAGAGGCTGATCGCAGTCCCTGCTTTAAATAATATAACAACGGGGACTTAAAATCTCAAAATGGTGATTGACACAGAATAAGTATTCTATAAGTTTTTTGAAATCATCAACATTGGTATCGAAGTGAGAATACCTATCATATTACTAAAATTATTTGACAACTACCCTATCTATCTATCTTTCCCCAGTGCCTAGGCCAGCACATGGAACAGGCATAAGATCAAGAAATATTTGCTAAAAGAAATTCAGGTGCAGAAATAAATTCCAAATTAACTCTATTTTCCTATCAAAAAAAGAGGTTATTTCCTCTGAGTTCCCCATGCATGAGGAGGATTTAGGAGAAGTGGGTCTTTATTTGTCCACACAGTTTTTTGTTTTTGTTTTTGGTACCGGGGATCAAACTTGGGTCCTTGTGTTTGCGAGGCAGGTGGCGGCACCACTGAGCTAAATCCCCGGCCCCTGTCCACACAGTTTTGAGTAGAGGAACTTTAAAGAACCTGCCACTCCTCACAGGTGAGCACTGTCCGGCCGTGTTAGATCTAGAATTGAAAATAGGTGGGTGACAAAGAGTGTAGCTCGTACGGGCTCTGGGCTCCAAATATATAGGCAGAATGTGCTATGGTCTGATGAAAAGCTGTATCTAACGCGTAGTACCTGAAGAAGGGATCCGAGGAAGAGAGGAAGAGCCTGTTACGCTGCTAGGGGTCACATCAGCCGCTGCTGTAGTAGACACAAGTGATGAACTCTGCGAAGGGCTTTCTGTCTCTGTCCTTATAGGCTTGAAGGCTGGGAAGGTTGCAGGGAGGCTTAGGGTTGAGAACAGAGACTGAGTGGGGCCCTCAGTGACTCCGGGGTCTGACTCCCTGGGGGATGTGCCCTCGTGTACGTCAGATATCTTGAAGGCTGTGCCCGACACGGCAGTGGACGTCCCTGTCACCTGGAACGCTGAGGACGAACGGGTCCCTGGGGGAGCCGTCTGAATCCCCTCTACCCCAGGGCTTGAGGATCGAGGCAAGATGTTAGAAGTGGTGACATCTGGTAGAGCTGACTCGGTAAATGGCAAAACGCTGGTTTGGCCTGTGCTTGTCCCGGAGGAAGCAGAAGGGCCAGAATGTAAGGGAGAGGTGGCGGTCAGCACGCTGGACCGAGCTACCCCTGAGGGAGAGGAGGAGGCAGAATATGACTGCCAGGCTGTGCGGCTCCGAGAGCTAACGGTTTTGTGAGGTGTGCTGGCCCCCAGGCTGTCTGTTGAGGTGGTCACAGTCGGAGGCATTGATGCCCGTGTCTGGATGGCAGCCTCACTGGTGGACTGGAGACTCTCCCTGGTGGAAGCAGGCGTGGAGAGGCTGTGTGTCCATGTGGTGGGAGGTTCGGTGGAGGGGGAGCTGTCGGCACCAAGGGTTCCCAGGGTGTTAGTGGAACTGCTTTCCTCCTCAGGGCCGGAGGGCACCTCAGAGGCTGTGCTGGCCACAGGGCTGCTCCCTGGGAGTGTGGAGCTGGGAGCAGCAGGGGTGAGGAGGGACGTTGTAGCCTCAGAGTCTGTGACGGTGTGGAGCTCAGTGCTTGCCCCCAGAGTCTGGGTCATTTGGGGGATGCTGGTCCGTCCTGTGGATTCTGGCCAGGATGGAGAGGAAGCTGTCCTTCCGCTGGTGGCTCCGGTGTATGTGGGCTCTGAGGTGGTGGACCGGTCGGGCCTGGCATGGGCCGTTGTGCCCGAGAAAGGAATGGCCGTGACATCGGTACCTGGGCGAGACTGGGCCGTGCCCGTGTGCCCACCAGATCTGTGGATGGCCGTGTGCCCAGCCGAGCTGCTCTCCCCTGCTGGCGTGGTCTGGGTAGATGCTGACTTTCCCGGAGAATGGGTTTCCACATCCGTCTCAGAGAACCCTGAGGACGTGGGTGTGGATTTGGGCGCTCCGGAGTCCCCTGCAGTCAAGGTGTGCACCAGAGTAGCGGGGGATTGCTCTGAGGCAGTGGGGCTGGATTCTAGTCCAGAGGTCGTGGTCTGCACGCTGGACCAGGGCACCGCAGAGGAGGCAGAGGCGGAGAAGGTGGCCTCATGGGAAGGTGTGGTGGCCCCCAGGATGTCCTCTGAGGGAGTCACTGTAAGTGGCATTGACACCCATGTCAGGGTGGCTGCCTCGCTGGTGGACTGGAGACTCTCTGTAGTGAAAGCAGGTGTGGAGAGGCTGTGCCTCCTTCGGGTGGGAGGCTGAGTGGAGGGTGAGTTTGTGGCACCGCTGGTTCCTGGGGAGCTGGCAGGGCTGCTTTCCTGCACAGGCGCAGTGCTGGGGACAGAGGACGCCTCAGAGGCTGTGCTGGCCACAGGGCTGCTCCCTGAGGCCGTAGAGTTAGGAGCAGCAGGGGCAGCAGGGGAGGTGCTGGCTCCAGAGGTGGTGGTAGAGGAGGGACCAGGGGTGTGGAGAGAATTCGGGGAGACCTGAGTTGGTGTCATTTGCGTGATGCTGGTCACACCTGCTGATTCTGGCCCTGATAGGGAGGAAGCCATCCTTCCAGTGGTGGTTCTGGTGTGCATGGGCTCTGAGGTGGTAGAATGTTCGGGCTGTGCATGGGACGTGGGGCCTGAGGAGGGGGCTGCTGGGACATTGGTGCCTGGGCCAGCCGGGGCAGATCCTGTGTGCCCGCCGGATGTGTGGATGGCTGTGTGCCCGGCCCAGCTGGTCTCCCAGGATGGCGTGCTCTGGGCAGATTCTGAGGTCCTCAGAGAATGGGTCTCCGTGACTGTCCCAGAGACCCTCGTGGATGTGGGTGTGGATTTGGACATCCCAGAGTCCCCCGTGGTTAAGGGGTGCACCAGAGTAGTGGTGGGTTGGCCTGAGACAGAGGAGCGGGATTCCAGTCCGGAGGTGGTGGTCTGCATGCTGGCCCCCAGGCTGTCCATTGAGGTGGTAAGTGTCGGTGGTATTGACCCCTGTGTCCGGGTGGCAGCCTCGCTGGTGGACTGGAGACTCTCCCTGGTGGAAGCAGGTGTGGAAAGGCTGTGTGTCCATGTGGTGGGACGTTCGGTGGACAGGGAGCTTGTGTCACTGCTGGTTCCCAGCAAGCTGGCAGGGCTGCTTTCCTGCACAGGCACAGTGCTGGGGGCAGAGGACGCCTCAGAGGCTGTGCTGGACACAGGGCTGCTCCCTGAGAGTGTGGAGCTGGGAGCAGCAGGGGTGGCCAGGGAGGTGGTGGCCCCTGTGTTGCTGGAGGTGGAGGTATCCATAGTGCGGAGAGCAATCAGAGAGACCTGAGTTGATATCATTTGGGGGGTGTTACTCATGCCTGCGGATTTTGGCCCTGATGGGGAAGAAGACATCCTACCACCGGTGGCTCCAGTGTGCCCTGGCTCTGAGGTCACGGACTGGTCAGGCCCCGCATTGTATGTTGGGCCTGAGGAGGGAGCCAGTGTGGCATCATTGCCTGGGCCAGCCTGGGTCATTCCCCTGTGCCCACCTGATGTGTGGATGGCTGTGTGCCCAGCAGAGCTGGTCTCCCCTGCTGGCGTGGTCTGGGCAGATTCCGAGGTCCTCAGAGAATGGGTCTCCGTGACTGTCCCAGAGACCCCTGGAGATGTGGGTGTGGATTTGGATACCCTGGAGTCCCCCATGGTTGTGGGGTAAGCAAGAGTAGTCGTGGATTGGCCTGAGGCAGTGGGGCCGAATTCCAGTCCAGTAGTGGTGGTCTGCACGCTGGACTGGGGCACCTCTGAGAAGGAGGACAAGGCAGGATTTGACTGCCAGACTGTGGGCTTCTGAGAGTTGGCCTCCTGCCCAGGTGTGCTGACCCCCTGGGGGCCTGTTGAGGTGGTTACAGTCAGTGGAATTAATCTCTGTGTTGGGGTGGCCACTGCAGTGGTGGAATGGAGACTCTCCCTAGAAGAAGCAGGCAGAGAGAGGCTGTGTGTTTGAGCCATAAGAGGCTTGGTGTAGGGGGAGCTGGTGGAACTGTTTTTTTCTGAGGCTATGGAGGTGGGAGGACCCAGGGTATGGAGAGCAGAGGGGGAGACTTGAGTCAGGGTCTTTTGGGAGAAGCTGGTCATGCCTGCAGATTCTGGCTCTGATGGAGAGGAAGCCATCCTTCCACTGGTAGCTCCAGTGTGTGTGGTCTCTGAGGTGTTGGACCTGTCGGGCCCCACATGGGATGTTGTTCCTGAGGAGGGGGCTGCAGTGGCATTGGTGCCTGGGCCAGGCTGGGAAGTGTCCATGTGCCTGCCAGGTGTGTGGATGGCTGTGTGCCCAGCCGAGCTGGTCTCCCAGGATGGCGTGGTCTGGGTGGATGTCGAGGGCCTTGGAGACTGGGTCTCCATGTCTGTCTCAGAGATCCCCGAGGATGTGGGGGTGGATTTGGACACCCCAGGATACCCTGTCATCGAAGGGTACACCAGAGCAGCAGTGGATTGGCCTGAGTCAGTGGGGCCAGAGCTTAGTCCAGAGGTGGTGGTGTATACGCTGGACTGGGGCACCGCTGAGGACGAGGAGGAAGAGGAGGAGGAGGAGGAGGAAGAGACAAGATTTGTGAGCCAGGCTGTGGGGCCCAGAGAGCTGGCTTTGTGGGCAGGTGTGCTGGCCCCTTGGCTGTCCGTTGAGGTGGTAACAGTTGGGGGTATTGACCCCTGTGTCCGGGTGGCTACTTCGCTGGTGGACTGGAGACTCTCCCTGGTGGACGCAGGCGTGGAGAGGCTGTGTGTCCATGTGGTGGGAGGTTCGGTGGAGGGGGAGCTGGTGGCACCGCTGGTTCCCGGGGAGCTGGCAGGGCTGCTTTCCTGCACAGGCACAGCGCTGGGGGCAGAGGACGCCTCAGAGGCTGTGCTGGACACAGGGCTGCTCCCTGAGGGTGTGGAGCTGGCTGCAGCAGGGGTGGCTGGGGAGGTGGCTGCCCCCAAGGTGGAGGCCTCTGTGACATCAGTGCCTAGGCCAGCCAGGGCCGTGCCCTGTGTGCCCATGTGCCCACCTGATGTGCGGATGGCTGTGTGTGCAGTCGAGCTGGTCTCCCCTGCTTGTGTGGTCTGGGCAGATGCCGAGGTCCCCAGGGAATGGGTCTCCATGTCTGACTCAGAGACCCCCGTGAATGTGGGTGTGGATTTGAACATCCTGGAGTCCCCTGTATTTGAGGTGTGCGCCAGAGCAGTGGTGGACTGGCCTGAGGGAGAGGAGTGGGATTCCAGCCCAGAGGTGGTGTTCTGCGTGCTGGATGGTGGGACTGTTGAGTTGGAGGAGGAAGAGGCAGGATTTGTCTGCCAGGCTGTGGGCCCCCAAGCACTGGCCTCATAGGAAGGTGTGCTGGCCCCCAGGCTGTCTGTTGAGGTGGTCACAGTCTGTGGCACTGACACCTGTGTAGTGGCAGCCTCGCTGGTGGACTGGAGACTCTCCCTCGTGGATACAGGCGTGGAGAGGCTGTGTGTCCACGTGGTGGGAAGCTCGGTGTAGGAGGAGCTGGTGGCACCGCTAGTTCCTGGGGAGCTTTCAGAGCTGCTTTCCTGCACAGGCTCAGTGCTGAGTGCAGAGGACTCCTCAGAGGCTGTGCTGGCCACAGGGCTGGTATCTGAGGGTGAAGAGCTGGGAACAGCAGGGTTGACAGGGGAAGTGGTGGCCCCCAAGGCTCTGGTTATGGAGAGACCTGGGGTGTGAATGGTACTTGGGGAGCCCCGAGTCTGGGTCATTTGGGGAACGCTGGTCAATCCTGGAGATTCTGTCCAGGATGGGTAGGAAGCTGTCCTTCCGCTGGTGGCTCTGGTGTGAGTGGGCTCTGAGGTGGTGGCTTGGGTGGGCCCTGCATGGAATGTTGGGCCTGAGGAGGGGCCTGCTGTAACATAGATTCTTGGGCCAACCTGGGCCAAACCTGAGTGTGTGGCAGGTGTGTAAATGGCTGTGTGCCCAGCAGAGCTGGTCTTGACTTCTAGTGTGGTCTGGGAAGATGCAAAAATCCCCGGGGAATGAGTCGCGATGTCTGTCTCAGATAGGCTGGATTTGGACACTGCATAGTCCTCTGTGGTTGAAGGGTGCACAAGATTAGTGGTGGATTGGCCTGACGCAGTGTGGCTGGATTCCAGTCCAGAGGTGGTGGTAGGCATGCTGGACTGGGGCCCCGCTGAGGAGGAGGAGGAGAAGGAGGAGAAAGAGGAGGAGGAGGACGAGAAGGCGGAGGTGGAGGCATAGGAGGTAGAGGTGTAGGATGAGGATGAGGAGGTGGGATTTGTCTGCAAGGCTGAGGGGCCCTGAAAGCTGTCCTCCTGGGCAGGTGTGCTGGTCCCCAGGCTGTCCATTGAGGTGATCCCAGTTGGTGGAATTGACCCTTGTGTCTGGATGGCCCTCGTGGTAGTGGACTGGAGACTCTCCCTGCTTGAAGCACGCGCGGAGAGGCTGTGTGTCCCCTCGCTGGAAGATTCAGTGGAGGATGGGCTGGTGGCACTGGTGGTTCCCAATGCTGTGGTTGTGGAGAAACCCAGAGAGTGGAGAGCATTCATGGAGACCCGATTCAGGGTTTTTTGGGGAATGGTGGTCAATCCTGTGGAATCTGTCCAGGACAGGGAGGTCGCTGTCCTTCCACTGGTGGCTCCAGTGTGCGTGGTCTCAGAGATGGCTGACCAGTAAGGCCCTGTATGGGACGTTTTCCCTGAGGAGGGGGCTGCTGTGGTATTGGTGTCTGTGCCAGCCTGGGCTGTGCCTGCGTGCCTGATAGAATTGTGGATGGCTGTGTGCCCAGCCGAGCTGGTCTCCCCTGGTGGCATGGTCTGGGCAGATGTTGAGGATCCTGGAGAACGGATCTCCTTGTCTGTCACAGAGAACCATGAGGATGTGGGTGTGGATTTGGACACCCCAGGATCTTCCCTGGTCGAGGGGTGCACCAGAGCAGCAGTGGATTGGCCTGAGTCAGTGGGGCCAGAGCTTAGTCCAGAGGTGGTGGTGTGCATGCTGGATTGGGGCACTGCTGAGGAGGAGGAGGAGGAGGAAGAGAAGGACATGGAGGCATATGAGGAGGAGGAGAAAGAGGAGTAGGAGGAGTAGGAGGAGGAGGAGGAGGAGGAGGCGGCAGGATTTGTGTGCCAGGGCATGGGGCCATTAGAGCTGGCATCCTGGGAATGTGAGCTGTCCCAAAGGCTGTCCATTGAGGTGGTCACAGTGGGTGGCATTGACCCCTGTGTTGGGGTGGTCTCCCCACTGATGGACTGGAGACTTTCCCTGGTGGTAGCAGCCGTGGAGAGGCTGTGCCTCTGAGCAGTGGCAGATTCCATGGAGGGTGAGCTGGTGGCGTCTCTGGTTCCGGGGGAGCTGGCAGCGCTGCTTTCCTGCTCAAGCACAGTGCTGGGTGCAGAGGACGCCTCAGAGGCTGTGCTGGCCACAGGGCTGCTCCCTGAGGGTGTGGAGCTGGGAGCAGCAGGAGCTGCTGGGGAGGTAGCTGCCCCTGAGGAGGAGGCAACTGTGACATCAGTGCCTGGGCCAGCCTGGTTCTTGCCCGAGTGCCCACCCGATGTGTGAATGGCTGTGTGTGCAGTCGAGCTGGTCTCTCCTGCTGGTGTGGTCTTGGCAGAATCCGAGGTCTTCAGGAAATGGGTCTCCATGCCTGACTCAGAGACCCCCGTGGATGTGGGTGTGGATTTGGAAACCCCAGAGTCCCCCACTGTTGAGTGAAGAGGAAGAGTAGTTGTGGATTGTCCTGAGGCAGAGGAGCCAGATGCCAGTGCAGAGGTGGTGGTCTGCATGCTGGACCGTGGGACTCCTAAGGTGGAGGCGGAGGAGGAAGCAGAGAAGGCAGGAGTTTTCTGCCAGATTGTGGAGTCCTGAGAGCTGGCACTGTGGGTATGTGAGCTTTCCCAAAGGCTGTCCATTGAGGTGGTCATGGTCTGTGGCATTGACTCCTGTGTCAGGGTGGCCACCTCACTGGTGGACTGCAGACTCTCCCTGGTGGACACAGGCGTGGAGAGACTGTGTGTCCATGCATTGGGAAGCTCAGTGTAGGAGGAGCTGGTGGTACCGATTGTTCCAGGGGAGCTGGCAGGGCTGCTTTCTTGAACAGGCACAGTGCTGGGTGCAGAGGACGCCTCAGAGGCTGTGCTGGACACAGGGCTGCTATCTGAGGGTGAGGAGCTGGGAACAGCAGGGGTGACAGGGGAGCTGGTGGCCCCCGAGGCTGTGGTGGTGGAGAGAACTGGGATGTGAAGAGCATTTGCGGAGCCCCGAGTCTGGGCCGTTTGGGTAACACTGGCCAATCCTGCAGATTGTGGCCCTGATGGGGAGGAAGCTGTCCTTCCTCTGGTGGCTCTGGTGTGTGTGGGCTCTGAGGTGGTGGACCGGTCGGGAGTTGCATGGGACATTGGGCCTGAGGAGGGGACTTCTGTGACATAGGCTCCTGGGTCAACCTGGACCGAGTCCAAGCGTGTGGCAGATGTGTGAATGGCTGTGTGTCCAGCTGAGTCGGTCTCGCCTTCTAGCGTGGTCTGGGCTGATGTTGAAGTCCCCGGGGAATGGGTCACTATGTCCTTCCCAGATTCGCCGAAGGATGATGGTTTGGATTTGGACGCCGCATAGTCCTCTGTGGTCGAGGGGTGTGCAAGAGTAGCAGGGAATTGGGCTGAAGCAGTGGGTCTGGATTCCAGTCCAGAGGTTGTGGTCTGCACGCTGGACTGGCGCACCGCTGAGGAGGAGATAGAGGAGGCAGGATTTGTCTGCCAGTCTGTGCGGCCCCTAGAGCTGGCTTTGTGGGCAGGTGTGCTGGCCCTCTGGATGTCCTTTGGGGTGGTAACAGTAAGCGGCATTGACCCCTGTGTCGGGGCGGCTGCCTCGCTGGTGGACTGGAGACTCTCCCTGGTGGAAGCAGGCGTGGAGAGGCTGTGTCTCCTCCCACTGGAAGGGGTGGCGGAAGGGGAGCTGGTGGCACTAGTGGCTCCCATGGCTGTGGTGGTAGAGGGAGCCAGGATATCGAGCACAGCGGGGGAAACCTGAGTCGGGCTCATTTGAGGGATGCTGGTGATGCCTGCAGATTCGGGCCCTGATGGCGAGGAAACCGTCCTTCCACTGGTGGTTCTGGTGTGCGTGGACTGCAAGGCAGTGGACCAGTGGGGCCCCGCAGGGGATGTGGGGCCTGAGGAGGGCGCCACTGTGACTTCCGTGCCTGGGCCAGCCTGGGCAGATGCTGTGTGCCCGCCCGATGTGTGGATGGCTGTGTGCCCGGCCCAGCTGGGCTCCCAGGATGGCGTGGTCTGGGCGGATGTCGAGGTCCTTGGAGAATGGGTCTCCGTGTCTGTCTCAGCGAACCCTGAGAGTGTGAGTGTGGATTTGGACACCTCGAAATATCCTCCCATTGAGGGGTGCACCAGAGTAGCAGTGGATTGGCCTGAGTCAGTGGGGCCAGAGCTTAGTCCAGAGGTGGTGGTGTGTACGCTGGACTGGGGCACCGCTGAGGACGAGGAGGAAGAGGAGGAGGAGGAGGAGGAAGAGACAAGATTTGTGAGCCAGGCTGTGGGGCCCAGAGAGCTGGCTTTGTGGGCAGGTGTGCTGGCCCCTTGGCTGTCCGTTGAGGTGGTAACAGTTGGGGGTATTGACCCCTGTGTCCGGGTGGCTACTTCGCTGGTGGACTGGAGACTCTCCCTGGTGGACGCAGGTGTGGAAAGGCTGTGTGTCCATGTGGTGGGACGTTCGGTGGACAGGGAGCTTGTGTCACTGCTGGTTCCCAGCAAGCTGGCAGGGCTGCTTTCCTGCACAGGCACAGTGCTGGGGGCAGAGGACGCCTCAGAGGCTGTGCTGGACACAGGGCTGCTCCCTGAGAGTGTGGAGCTGGGAGCAGCAGGGGTGGCCAGGGAGGTGGTGGCCCCTGTGTTGCTGGAGGTGGAGGTATCCATAGTGCGGAGAGCAATCAGAGAGACCTGAGTTGATATCATTTGGGGGGTGTTACTCATGCCTGCGGATTTTGGCCCTGATGGGGAAGAAGACATCCTACCACCGGTGGCTCCAGTGTGCCCTGGCTCTGAGGTCACGGACTGGTCAGGCCCCGCATTGTATGTTGGGCCTGAGGAGGGAGCCAGTGTGGCATCATTGCCTGGGCCAGCCTGGGTCATTCCCCTGTGCCCACCTGATGTGTGGATGGCTGTGTGCCCAGCAGAGCTGGTCTCCCCTGCTGGCGTGGTCTGGGCAGATTCCGAGGTCCTCAGAGAATGGGTCTCCGTGACTGTCCCAGAGACCCCTGGAGATGTGGGTGTGGATTTGGATACCCTGGAGTCCCCCATGGTTGTGGGGTAAGCAAGAGTAGTCGTGGATTGGCCTGAGGCAGTGGGGCCGAATTCCAGTCCAGTAGTGGTGGTCTGCACGCTGGACTGGGGCACCTCTGAGAAGGAGGACAAGGCAGGATTTGACTGCCAGACTGTGGGCTTCTGAGAGTTGGCCTCCTGCCCAGGTGTGCTGACCCCCTGGGGGCCTGTTGAGGTGGTTACAGTCAGTGGAATTAATCTCTGTGTTGGGGTGGCCACTGCAGTGGTGGAATGGAGACTCTCCCTAGAAGAAGCAGGCAGAGAGAGGCTGTGTGTTTGAGCCATAAGAGGCTTGGTGTAGGGGGAGCTGGTGGAACTGTTTTTTTCTGAGGCTATGGAGGTGGGAGGACCCAGGGTATGGAGAGCAGAGGGGGAGACTTGAGTCAGGGTCTTTTGGGAGAAGCTGGTCATGCCTGCAGATTCTGGCTCTGATGGAGAGGAAGCCATCCTTCCACTGGTAGCTCCAGTGTGTGTGGTCTCTGAGGTGTTGGACCTGTCGGGCCCCACATGGGATGTTGTTCCTGAGGAGGGGGCTGCAGTGGCATTGGTGCCTGGGCCAGGCTGGGAAGTGTCCATGTGCCTGCCAGGTGTGTGGATGGCTGTGTGCCCAGCCGAGCTGGTCTCCCAGGATGGCGTGGTCTGGGTGGATGTCGAGGGCCTTGGAGACTGGGTCTCCATGTCTGTCTCAGAGATCCCCGAGGATGTGGGGGTGGATTTGGACACCCCAGGATACCCTGTCATCGAAGGGTACACCAGAGCAGCAGTGGATTGGCCTGAGTCAGTGGGGCCAGAGCTTAGTCCAGAGGTGGTGGTGTATACGCTGGACTGGGGCACCGCTGAGGACGAGGAGGAAGAGGAGGAGGAGGAGGAGGAAGAGACAAGATTTGTGAGCCAGGCTGTGGGGCCCAGAGAGCTGGCTTTGTGGGCAGGTGTGCTGGCCCCTTGGCTGTCCGTTGAGGTGGTAACAGTTGGGGGTATTGACCCCTGTGTCCGGGTGGCTACTTCGCTGGTGGACTGGAGACTCTCCCTGGTGGACGCAGGCGTGGAGAGGCTGTGTGTCCATGTGGTGGGAGGTTCGGTGGAGGGGGAGCTGGTGGCACCGCTGGTTCCCAGGGAGCTGGCAGGGCTGCTTTCCTGCACAGGCACAGCGCTGGGGGCAGAGGACGCCTCAGAGGCTGTGCTGGACACAGGGCTGCTCCCTGAGGGTGTGGAGCTGGCTGCAGCAGGGGTAGCTGGGGAGGTGGCTGCCCCCAAGGTGGAGGCCTCTGTGACATCAGTGCCTAAGCCAGCCAGGGCCGTGCCCTGTATGCCCATGTGCCCACCTGATGTGTGGATGGCTGTGTGTGCAGTCGAGCTGGTCTCCCCTGCTTGTGTGGTCTGGGCAGATGCCGAGGTCCCCAGGGAATGGGTCTCCATGTCTGACTCAGAGACCCCCGTGAATGTGGGTGTGGATTTGAACATCCTGGAGTCCCCTGTATTTGAGGTGTGCGCCAGAGCAG